CCTCCTGACAAGATACCTTTCATTCCTACAATCTCTTACCCTCTGTTCTTGCATTTTACCTTCTTTGAATTTTGTGTCATCTATCTACAAAAATACTTTTCTGTTGTGGCATTTGGCCTTTGAATTTTGTTTATGAAAAGTTCCCCTGACATTGCACCTTTCCTTTTCTGTTCTCTGTGCATGAATTGTACACCTTGAACCCTGGTAATTCTTTTTTGGGTGCATGCAGTTTTGTCAGAAATCCTGCCGCCTCTCCAAAGGCCCTTTGCTGCTGATGTAATGATGCACAGTCTTACAGGGTGTTTTAGAAGTAAAGTTAGCGTTTCATTTAACATGCGGAAGTGTAACGCAAGGTCAGAATATGAGATGGGGGAGCAAAGCCAAAATGGTGTAATTTACGCCAGTTTTCAGGCCCTTGAGTGTGTAAATTGTACTAACATAATTACCTTGGGTAATAGGTTACTCATTGCTCTATCCCTCGGTACTTGTGAACTGTAAATTAGTTTGGAGAGGCCAGGAAGCACTGTAGTTACAATCGACCTGAATGCACCTTCTGAATAAAGCAAGTTCTCTGTATCTTGCTCACTCTCAATTCTCATCTGTGTATTTTTCTCCCAGGTTGTAGGAGGCCTAGATATCCACAAAAAGATGGTCGTAGATGTGTGACTCTGTAGGGCACCACCCAACACTTTTGCTTTCTTCTCCATCTCTGAAGATCTGCTCAAGACGTCCAGCAATGCTCTCTGTGTATTTAAATGGAAGTATTTTTCTCTGTGAAGCCACATTTTCCAACATGAGCCTCATGAAGCCAACTAAGTGTTATTGAACTTTATTCTCTCAATAACTCAGTGTAGCACTTTAAAGTCTGAAGGACAGCAAAGATGGAAAGAGCATATCAGTGTGGCGGAGAAAGGGAAGGGGTTGGCTTTTAATTTATTTTTCTTCATCTTTTATAACAAGGAAATATCTATCTATATATATGTGTGTGTATTTATATATAGATATATATGTAGCTTTCTATATGTAGTAGCTAGGTGGGCTTTAATTTAATATTATACTTGATTCAGAAACAAAACTAGAGTACAAAGTGCCAAGCAGAATATTAACAGTTCAATATACGGATATACATCCTTACTTTTATTTCACACAGTTTTATATATATAGTAGAAGAATGTAAAATTTCAACTGGGTGTTAGGTCAGCTCTTTTCCTTTTCCTGTGACTGTTCAGATGTTTCTATATATTGACTGGCTGACAAAGCATTGCTTCTTATTAATTCACCTTAATTACATTTTTTTAACACAGGAGACTAAGTTTATTTATACCTGTTAATATATTACCAGGGACTGTGTCTCTTTGCTAAATAACTTAGTACAGTGCTACTTAATAAGAGAATATAGTTTAATGCTACTGCCAAGAACCAGCCCTCGTGTGCATACAGTAACTGCAAAATGCTTTGATGGCCGCTAGATTTCGTCACCTAGGGACTGGGAGCGGTTACAGCTGTCCTGAGGTTAAGGTGAATTTGCTGTTCGGGATTCATTTTAGACACAGCTGCTCAAGGTGTTGGACGCGTTCATGATTTTCCCTTGTGCTTAGCGTAATGAAATTAGGATCACGGAACTGTGCAGGATTCCCATCGACTTCTTTTATACAGTACTTAGATTATGAAATGTTCTTGCCATTTAAATTCTGTTGTTTCAACCATGGTAGTTTCCCCTCTGCATTTAAAGAATACTACAGGTAGCATAAATAACTGGTAATATTTTATATATATATGTATATAGGATTCATACAGGGGGAAAATCTTGCTAACCTATGCCATAGAGGAGGAAAACTTCACACTATCTAAATTTATACCTCTTGCGGTTCTCCAGTCATTTGTCTGGAGAATTTTTTTTCTTTTCTAGATTTGTCCATATCATAATTTGTAACGGATGGTGACTTGATATATTTGTGTGATATAAAAGTAGCGAGCCACGTTTTACAACTTTATATCATCCCTTCCCTTTTCTGCAATGGTACTATTGGCTGGAAGAAAAACATTTGCTAGATTTTTTAGGACCGTACATCTTTCCTGTATAGTAGTTTTTCTATTAAAAATTGTTTTATAATCAGCAGTGGGAAGTGCAGGTTGTCTGAACCTACTTCAGTCGAGCACCTGTCTGCCATAGCTGTTCCTTCAACTGAGTGCTGCACATCATGGGCTCTGTCTGTGAGAGAGAAATCCAGGTGCTTGGTGTCCTTGCATGACATGAAGTTTTGCATGTAGATCGATTTGAAATGTTCCTCTTGTTTACATAATTTGCATAATTTAAAAGATAATGTTGCCAAACTTTGGTAAATGTTAATGTTCAAAACAAAAATCTCCACTACATGTAACTTCTCTTCCTCTGGATCAGTACGTGGTTTATAATCCCAGCCAGTGGTTGTATCTGTTCCAGTGTCAACTGCCATGTGCTCTGCTTCAAGGGGGAACTAGTCTTTTGTGAATTTTTTGTACATAAGTATTTGTTACAAACATTTTAGCAAATGCTTTCGATTTCTCTTACTCGCTTGTGCATATCTTGGCTGGCATTATAGAGATTAGTGCTAATGTTATTTCCTTAGGGGGACTGGAAGGGGAGGGATATGAGGTTGGTTGGTTTTTTTTAGTTTGTGTGGGGAAAAATGATTTATGTTGAATGTTTTAGTTTTTCCTCTGCATGCTACATCATATGTTGTGGGAACTATAAGAACCTTCATACTATATGAATACAAAATAAAATATTTGAACCTTGTCTGGGGTGCTTCAGTACTTACCTGGACCTTTCCTGTGCAACTTGAAGCGGCTCTGCACCCTGCTCTTGAGAAAAGAAAACTTGCTGTTCGTAGTTTTTGTCCTCTCTTTGATTTATGGAAAAACTGTACAGGGTGCAGACAGTCCCCTGAATACTCCAGCCTTCACTGCAGTGTTTCAAGACCACTTATGTATTTTTTTTTTCCTAAAGACACATCTGGTTCTCTTTGCTAAATGGCCAAATTTAGCAAAGAGATAAAAAACCTGGATAAATTACCTTGTTTTAAATCCTACTAAATACAGAGTGATTGTGGCAAGTGGGAGGTTCTTTGAAGAAAAAAAAAAAAAAAAAAAAACACAACCAAAAAACCCAAACAAAACCCAAACCTTGAACCTTAAGGTAGGTGGAGAATGAAAGGCAGCCTTTTTCTCAAGGAAAGGTCCGAGCCCTCCATTGGCAAAAGCACTCCTCCCTCTAGCAGGTACGTCCCTTACAGAAGCCAGTTGCTCTTTGTGGTGTCCGGACCTTCCGTGTGCTGCCCTCTCCCTTTCTACTGGTTTTGGTCGGTATTGGTATGCACCTGCTGTAGGATAAAGATGAGGTTACTTTTCTGGGCCCTTGCCTCACTCTCCCCTTTTTATCTTTCAAGCTATTTGAGATAAATGACATAAGCAGCCAGTGAATAGAAGATGCGCTAACCAGGCCGGTGCACGGCTTTACCTTGAGCAGCTCAAAATGAACTGCTCCCCTGTACGGCTTGGGCTGCTGAGAGGTGGTTGTTGAGGTAACTCAGTCATAAATCTCTCTGCCAAACTCATTTCAGCCTTCAGTTGCTGTTGTGGGAGTACTGGGTCCAGCTCTGGAGTAGGACAGGGACCTGCTCGAGCTGGGCCAGAGGAGGGCCACAAAGATGACCAGGGGGCTGGAGCACCTCCCCTGTGAGGACAGGCTGAGAGAGTTGGGGTTGTTCAGCCTGGAAAGAAGACTGGAGAGACCATATAGCGGCCTTCCAGTGCTTCAAGGGAGCCCATAAGAAAGGTTGGGACAAACTTTTCAGCAGGGCCTGTTGCGATAGGACAAGGGGTGATGGTTTTAAACTAAAAGAGGGCAGATTTAGACTACATCGAATTTTTTACAATGAGGGTGGTAAAACACTGGCACAAGCTGCCCAGAGGGGTGGTAGAAGCTCCATCCCTGGAAACATTCAAGATGAGGCTGGATGTGGCTCTGAACAACCTGATCCAGCTGAAGATGTCCCTGCTCACTGCAGGGGATTGGACTAGGGGGCTTTTAAAGGGCCCTTCCAGCCCAAACTATTCTATGGTTCTGTAATAATCCCACACTACAAAGTGCTTGGACACCAAAAGAAATGCTGAACTCCATTTGTTAGGGTTTTTGATGATGTCATTTCAGTTCTTGTTTTCATTCACAAACCTAAACTGAATTATTTTGCAAGAGACTTGGTAACAAGTTTGGCTGGCAGGGGCAGGAGAAAAGGGCCAATGTTTAAGTAAAACTGGGACTGTAACTGGTCTCTTATCTCTCCCCTGCTCTGCAGTGGGCACATAGCATTTTAAGGAGATGCAGCACTTTACAGTTGTGCTCTGGTACACAGTGGCTCTTGGCTTTGCACTACAGACCACTGGTGAGAGAATAAAAATAAATCTAGGTAGGTGCAGATTCTAGGGCTAAGTTCAAATACACTATTTACCTCTTCTTACCATTTTCATGTGATGATGATGTTTTGTCAGCAGCAGAGACTCAGTGGGCAGCCTGCCCTTGAACTTTGCATTCCAGCTGACTCTTCCTTTTTCCAGGAAGATACTGATCCATGATGTGTGGTTATGAACACTTAACTATGCTGATTCCTTTAGGCTCAAAGGCTTTCTGAAGTACTCACAGCTGTCCCTTTAATACTTTGATGTTCAGAAAGCCAGTAATGAAGCATGGGGGTTTTTTTCAGGGTAAGTTTCAGTAAAATCAGGTACCTGTACTTCTGATACAGACACAACCAATTTAAAATAACTTTTAATGACTACACAGAAATACTGCTTTTGTTCAAATCAGCCTGTCTGAAATGAGACTGCACAAACAGTCCCCTTTTTCTTCTGGGCTTCCAACTCAGGCAGCAGACTGAGGGCTCGTGTAGCTCCAGGCCTCTTGTCCAGACACAAACTACAGCTCCCATGAACAGTCCTTAGTGGTGCTGCTGTGCTGCAGCTCAGAATCTTTCAGCTGCTCTGCTGGCCACTGCCCGAATATTGCCATAAACTTTTGATGGAGGGCTTCCTGCAGAAGAAAGCACAAATCCAGTCAGCGAATAAGATGATGTGTCACAAACGGATGTTTTGCTCTCATGTCTGTGCTAAAAGTGGAGAAATAAACTCATGGGTGAGAAGGATGGTCAAGGTCAGCAGCCTTGTCTTACTGCGAGCGCAGTTAAAACTGCTGGTGTGGGTTGCCCCCTTTGGCTTTCTAGATGGTTCAGAATAGCCCCTCGGGGAATGCTGGAGCTAAAGCAACAAGCAGAAAACCTTCCTTCTGCACTATAGAGGGACTTGGAACCGGAAACCATGCCCTAAGCTCCCTGAGGGTTCTTCCCCAAACCCTCCTCTTAAGGGCAACAAGGCAACTCCCAGCAAGTGCCCTGCTCTCAGTGCAGGTGTGGACACGTGGGGCAAGAGAGTCAGAAAGACCCAAAGAAAGCAGCTTCTCAAACTGCAGGATGTATTTATGTGTGACGGAGAAGACAGAGAACAGGACTTACCTAAAATCAGATTGCAAATGGCTGTTCGTGCCATTTTAATGTTCTGAAAAGATCCCAAAATATGAATTTTCCTATAAAAAGTGGTCAAAAGTAGCATTAGTTCATGGAAAAAACCTCTGAGAAGACACAGAGAGTTCAACGTTAGAGATGAACACGGAATTTCAGTTCAGTGTCCTACTTTCTTTTCTACACTTGTAAGTCAAAAAAACCCTCAAAACCAGAAAACGGACATAAACCCTGTGTTTTTCTAAATCCTTTTTAAAACAGATTTTTACAATTTGGAAATTTAAATGTAGCAGCTTTAGGAGGAAAGGAAAAACCTTGTTGCAGGGTTGGTGGGTTCAACTTTGATTATTCCTAAGAAGGAATTCTTACACGCTGTGGGGAATGAATTCTAGGTGTGCTGGCAGGCATCACTCTTGTAACAAAAGGTCAAATAAATATTCAAATAGCACTGAAATCACTTGTCTTACTACTGCTCTACACATTTCAAACCTTTCAAGTTATCTCGGTTCCTAGAGGAGGACATGGATTTGTTTGGGGATTGCGCTCTGCCTCGAAGTCCCTCAATACTCACGCGTCAGCAAGAACGATTCGTGTCCTGGTTACGTTTTCTATCGTGAATTTTGTTTTTCCGCCTTTTCCTGCTATTCTCCCTATGGCTCTTGACAGATGATCTCCTTTCAGGGGTTTGACTAGAACGAGAATAACGTGCTCAGTGTCACTGCAGCGGTGAGTATTTCTGTAGTGCTTCCCTAGCACAGGTTAGTGGGAACAGCTCATTCTAAGTAACAGGAAAGCCACTTTGCTGCGGTGGATACAGACACATACGGATTTCACCTCACGTGAAGTGAAAGCTGCACCCTCTGCTACGTGACCATGAGGGCTCTGGTGTCAAAGAGACGTTCTTGGACAGAACTGCAGCAGCTGTTCCCTTTGCTACTGAGCAGCTAAGATTGAGGAAAGAAACAGAGCCAAAGCGCACACAATTAACACCGGCAGAAATTAAACAGATCAGATTTAGATGCTACTCCAAATGGGGCTCCAAGGAGTTCCAGTAATACATGAAATAACAGAGGTCTCTTATCTGCTTCCCACCCCTCACTGCCAGGATAGGAGGGGGAACAAAGCCCAGTCCGGTTTAAAAATGTAATGGCTGTATTCCCAAAACACTCTATGTCACCTTTAAGTTTAAAACAACATTTTCACTGCAAGAAGAAAAATCAAATCGCTTTGTCAAAGCGATATACTTTTAAGGATGAAGGTTTGGGGGGTTTTGTTGGGACATCTTAGAAAAATGACAACCCTGCCAAGCTGCCAGTACCTGGACAATAACGTAACGACGTGAAGGTTTTCCTGATCCCCAAGGGTAAGTGACACAAGTGGAGCAGGGGAGGAAACAAACAAACAAAAAAAGTGCTTGCAGATGGTGCACACAACTGCTTGAGCAGAGGAAACAACTTACCATCTGTAACTTCAAATGATTCCAGAAAAAGATCATCTAATCTGATGAGAGCAAGAGCGTCCTGAAATATGAAGAGATTTATTAGTTTTTTGCAATACCACGACAGAGTTCACAGCTGATGTTTTCTTTATACAGAGACAAAATCAGTAGTGTATTTCCACTTACCATATCAAAAAACAGTCAACTAAAGTTGCATCGACTGTTTTTTAGCAGCAACAGAATTTTTCATTTCTGTGTAGGGACCCCCCTGCCCCCGTGCTCAGACGCCCCCACATTCACCCCAAACCCACCTACACTAGCGGTCAGCAGAGGTCTGCAGCAACGAGCAGCCCGTACAATGCTACAAAAAGTGGTTTTGTTTTCTCCAAGTTTGAGTTTCGAACAGACTGAAGGTTACTGGCTTGGACTAAAGCAAAAGGAACAGTCTCTACATGTGCAGAGCACCTCAGAGCCAGATCACGGCTTCGTGCCTGCCTCTTGCATACAGCCAGCTATGTCCGCCATTTCAGAATCTCAATTACGCGCTGTTTGAAGGCTACTTTTTTATCCTGCATTAGCTTAAGAAACTAGACTTCCACTCCAGCCACAATTTCAAACAAGTTTATTTCTAGAAAACCACCTAGGGCTTTGTATTTCTTTCTTACTGTGATTTGCAGAGAAGCCAAAGACACCACACAAGCAAAGTGAAGCAATCTCACAGTCCAGCTGTCAGGAGACTCACCTCAACTTGAAACCCAAGTATGAATGCTTTCACAAAATCAGCTGCTTTCGTTAGAGCGCTGAGATCCTTTGTCTCTTGACAAGTCTGCAAGACAAGGAGTTACGTTTGCAAATTATGACCACGCAAGTAGGATACGGACTTGAAAAATCTAAGAGATACACTCTAACCACAAAGCAGCCACATTCAGGTAACGCTGCTGGGCTGGGTGGTGCCGAGACCCTCAAGAAAGACACTTTGTGCTTTCTGATAACATGTACCCTCCACAAGGACAATGCATCTGCTACCACAGTCTGGGTTTGGAGGGGAGGGAACAGAGAAGGTGCTGAAAATGCCCACCACCACTGACTGAGAAGCCTTTTTATGGAAAAAAAACAAAACAAAACAAAACAAACTAAACTGCAAGGCAGAACTGCAGAAAAAAAAGAGAAGGCTGATGGCAGGAGACAGCTTGAGGAGGGAAAGTTGCTCTAATGATAATATCCTAAAGGTGTTTTAGCAGGTGACTAGAAACCTGGACATGTTCAACACAACATGCAGGACAAGAGAAAGATGGCTGGAACAGGAACAAGTTGACCTAAGAAAGCACCAAGTGTTGGAGTGTTTAAGTTTTATAATTCCCCCTCACCCCGCCAGCAGAGGCCCCAGGATTTGCTGCCAGTGGCATTGTTTCAGTTCACGTTCTAAAGCAGGGCCAAAGCGTTCCTCTGCTACCTGGGCACATCTGCATTTACAGGCCCTGACAGGGACAGCCTAGAAAAGGGCAGCCCTTGAAGCTGCAAGAAAAGAAAAGCAGGAAACTAATGAAGGAAGAAAATGATGTTACGGTCTGGAATACACAGATGGCATTCCGAAATGGCGTTGTTTCGTATCAAAAAAGCGGTGCTAAAATCCCAGGTTTTTCACCTGTGCAGTTTTTCAGTGGAACTGCAGGAGTTCCTGCTGTTCCCTACCTCTTCCGTCAAGTTATTTCTAGAAAGTGTCAAGAAAGGATAGTTCTGTCACCTTTCCTCTAGTTGCTACCATAGAACTTGTGGTAAGATTTCAAAGTTATGAAGCAAGATGACTGTTGGTGTCTATTTTCGCTATTACAGGAGAAGATCTCGTACATTAGCATGACTATATGGTAAGTTGTACGCAAAGGCATGGCAGGAGCTTTGGATATACGCTTAAAACCAGCTAGTCTGACTGCTCCTGGGAAGGAGAAGAATGAGCATCTCCGAGATTTACAGTTCTCCATACCCTAAGCTATTTCAGTGCCATCCAGTAAAGAAAAATCATGAACTATTACACCACAGGCCCTTCTGCCCCAAAGGTTAATGGGAGATTTGGCAGCCGCCTCAAAAGACACTGTTAAAATTGTCACGTGAGGATGCAGTAGCCTTAAAGAGCTGGAAAGTGCTGCGTTCTAAAACCATGCACAGAGAGCCTTCCTTAAGTCCAAAATATTTAATTTTCTCCTGCAAAAATTGAAACACACACACACTCCCAACCCACCAGCTTTTGCTGGCCCTCCCAGAAGAGATTTAACACTGGGGGATTTTACTTGCATTAACTACTTGCTTCTAAGCCATAACTGACAGATTTTATGTTGATCCCTGTGAGGGTTTTCTGGTTAGGTGAACCTCCGCAATTCCCGTTTCCCCGAGTCCCCGAGCGTTCAGGACGCTCCCTGCTGTAGCAGCCAGGAGGAGCCCCC